AAGTTATACGCAAAAATGTGCAAAATATAAATTGCTGATTCAGCACAACGTGTGACGTCATTAGTTGGGTAAGTATGTTTAATGAATACTAAACTGAAGCATAGCTCAGTTATTATGGGCCCAAATCAAATGAAATTTTGCATACTGATTGTACATGATGAGACGCATTGAAAAACACTTCTAATTTTGTTGCCAAGGTAACAATGTCGTTCCCAGGCCCCTTGCGCCAATTTTATAAAACAGCTTTATTCATGGTACTTATAAGAATAAAGTAATATCAGAAGTATGTGTACCATACCTATGCATGCCAAAAGTTTACTTGCATGATAATAATTCTAAAATGACATACAAATAGATAAATGCAACTAGTTATTCAAAATCAGTGTAAGGGGCCTGGGAACGACTGTGTTGCCTTGACAACTAAATTAGAAGTATTTTCCCATGTGTCTCATCATGTACTATCTGTATGCAAAATTTCATTTGATTTGAGCCAATAATAACTGAGCTATGCTTCAGTTTACTATTCAATAAACATACTTACCCAACTAATGACGTCACACGTTGTGCTGAATCAGCAATTTATATTTTGCACATTTTTGCGTATAACTTCGGAACCAGATGAGATAGAATAGAGCATTAAACGGCTAATCGGCTTTTTTTCATGCTTTTCAGATGAAGCAATAAAATTTTTTGTTGCTCATACCCTTTAACTGCCTAAAAACCGTAAGTGCTCGGCGTCTTTTCCAATTGGCCGTGTGTCCGTGCCCGCGTATTCCTATATAACGTGCCCGCGTTTTCCGCGTTTCCCCACGTCTAAACGCAGTCAGTCGCCTATGGCCTCCTCCGCAGGCCTTTCAAAACTATAAAATTGGTGGGAAACGAACGGAAAGGCCTGCGGACTAATTTTCAAAGATTGCGGAAGCCACAAGCCAAATTATATTTATATATCGTTTATACCAGATCAAAATAGTTATTAAAGTCTTTAACTACTTCTGATATAGACCGCTTTTCGTATCCTCAATATACAAAAACAGTGAAAACTGAACAAACAAGCACACATTGATTTATAAACAGACGCAGATAAATATGAGTTAATTTGCATATTAAATTCTAACAGACAACAGTACGCTTTTATATAACACGTCCAGGGGCGGATCTAGGATTTTTCGTACGTTAGTAAAAAATTTCGTCGCTGAACATCGGGGGGCGCCAAGCGAATTAATGTGTGCCCAGTTTTACGAAAAAAATGTTACGTGGAAAATGACTGTTTCGCCCAATGTCAGGGCTCGTCAGCATGCCTAGGAAACACACAACACCATAAGCGTATCTTGCGATTCCGACATGGACAGCCCTCTTTCAAAGGAAAGGGCCTAAGCTGACTGGTTTTAAGGCGCCAGCACTCGCCTTCACACCTTTGCTCCGCAGCGAAAGGAGTTTGGTTGGACATGGGGACTATATGGGACATTTTGTAGATGTGAAACCGCTCTCTTTTCACACCAATCCCAGTCATTTCCAACCCTTTACCCCCCTCCCCGGCCCACCTAACCTATAATCCTAAGTCCTAACTTAAAATTCAATCAAGATCCGTGCTTACGGATCGAAAGCTTTGCAGTAATAAATTTACGTGGTGTTTCCACAAACAAAAAGCATTCAACATCCAATTGTTATCGAGAAAAAGAGTGACAAGAATGAATTGACGCTTTAAAAATTGTTATTTTATCGTATGCAGGTTGATAATTATAGGAATATTTTCTCCTTTTACTTGGATGGTGAAAAGATTGAAAAATATAGTTATGCAGTTTAAAACATTTTGTCATTTGATTGATTGTTAATTCGCAGGAAAATAATTTCCATATTTAATTCAAATTGCTTTGAAACTTGCTCAATTATCATTCATATATATGTTAACTATTGTAACACGCAATTAACATAGGTCAAAACTGTCTTGATTAAATCATTGGGTGTATATAGCAAGCAATTGTTGTTATGGAAGTGCACTGAACACCTTCGCTATTAACCAGAATACCAGACAACATGTTATATAAAAGCGAAAAAGTTAAGTAAATTTCAACCTCGTGTTTCCAACTGCAAATTTATCAATTACTTTTTCAATATCTGGGACAATCTCTTGATGAATCTGCATCATGGCTAGACCGTTTAACCGTTCTTCAACCATTGTACTACGCTGGTAGTTCTTAAGTGTCCTCAATGCTGAAATGGTTCTTTCACACTCACAAGAAGTGATGGGAAGTGTTCCTAAAATACGGAGAATAACTTTGATATTTTCAAAACCATCAAAACTGACAGCTTTTAGAGTTGTGGGAATGTTGTCAGGAAGAAGTCCTTCGTGGGTCTCCCAATAAGTCGTCCACAATGACATCTCAGCATCTAGAGCTAACGGATAAGGCAAGTCGTCAATATAAAAATTGGCAACAACTTTGAATTCATCCCGCCAGTCTTTCCCATTCTCTTTTAAAGACATCATCTTTGTTGGTACAATGCTTAATCCTTTATAAACGTTAACACTATATGTGTCAAACCTGTGTTGTAAAGCAGAATTAATATGGTCAACGAAAGGAATACTTATAGTACGCTTATAATATTCTGAGATTGACTTATATGGAGGATTGGATCGAGTTGTTTGTCTCCCTACTGTCCGTGGTTTACTCTCTTCTATGTTAACTTTTTCAGCTAAATCCAATGCCTCTGCATACCAGGCATCATGGAAAGAATCAATGGAATTTCTATAGTTAATAAAGTCATTTTTCATAGTATTAATTAAATGAATACCATCCATAATATCAATACTCTTTCCCTGTAGTAATAAAGTCACTGGAAAAAGTCTATCAAGAATATTGTGGGAAATGATCAAAGCTACAATAAATTCAAACTGTGCAACAAGATCATAAAAATGAGAAGCATCAGTGACAAGGTTTGGTCTATAACTCCCTTCTACATTATCTTTCATCTCCTTGAGGGTATCATATAAAGGGACAAAAAGCTCAATAAATGTATCCAAACCCGCAATTCGCTCAACCCATCTGGTCCGACAAACATCTACCAGCCGTTTTTTCTGAGATTCTCTCTCAGGATAATTGCGGACAATTTCCTCAAAAGGCATGTTACGTGTCTGGGAGATATTAATAAAATGTGAGACTTCTTTAACATGTTTCATCATAGTATTGACCTCAACAACAGTCAAGGAATCACATACAGCTAAATTAAGTCGATGACTATAACAATGGGTATAGAGGGCTTTCTCGTTAATACGTAAAATATTAGCTGACAAACCATTGATATGTCCCGCCACAGCACCTGCACCATCATAACCTTGCCCTCGACAATCATCAATAGATAACGTCAGGTTGTTAAGAGCTTCTAATATTAACTTGGCAAGTTGTTCACCAGTTAACCCCCACCTACACTGAAGGAAAGCAATAAATTCTTCTCGAATATTTATGTCAATGTCTACAAAACGTAAAACAAGAGACATTTGCTCCTTATGGGAAGAGTCTGCAGCCTCATCTGCAATAATAGAATAAAATTTACTAGCCTTAATATCTTGAATTATCTGTTCACTGATCACCTGACCACAACACTTAATAATTTTATTTTGGCTTGTCTTAGAAATATAACTCTTATTTTTACCACAATTTTTCAAATGGTCCTCCAAAACTTTGTCCCCTGCCCGAACTCTAAAATTAAGAGATTCTACAAAATTACCAACTCCCCCTGTAGAGTAATTGCCAACTTCTGGATGGTATTTAGAGTCATCACGATGACCACGTAATGGTAAACCAAGATGGCCACAAAAAATAACAGAATCTACAATTGAGGCAAGTTTCTTTCTATTTTCCTCAATTTCTTTTTTGAGGTTTGTATCTAAAATTACCTCTATTGGCTGTGCTTTCCCTGACATTTGGGAAAGTAAAGATGTCAGTATAGGGAAGGTACATGAATGCAGGCTCATTTCCCCACCTAAACCCTGTCCAGCATGATGTTTCAAAGTATATGCTGCACCACTCCAACGGCGAAGAGGCTGAGAAAATAAATTATGAATTTTGCCACATTTACCAGGAAAGCGATCTCCAAACAGAACGCATGACAAGCAGAATGCACCATCTTGAGAAGGTGAATAACAAAGCCATGAATGTAATTCTAGCCAATCATACCTGAAGCTTCTGCCACTAGTCTTAGGAAATGAATATTTTTGTCAGGTTTAAACACATTTTGGATAAGATTGCAAATCTCAGATGAGCTCATTCCCTTAACCATATCCCTGTACATTGCAACATCAAAATTAGTAACATGCGATTTTACCTTTTTCGCAATGGGTGTCTCACCTGATTCTAAAACATTGCTTTTCGTGTTAGTTGAAGTACTAGGTTTACTAACAATAGAAAAAGAAAAAGACTTAGCTCACTAATACATCAAAACGTTATCATAGAAGACAAAAAACAGACGACACACACATAAATATTAAGTTATTTACATGGAAGTATAAATATTGTATCATCAAAGATGTCTACAAAACCAGATTCGTCAAAGGTACGATTGATGGAGTGATTTTTTTAATGACGCCTTAAATTTATATCTTTTTAAGGATTTTATTTCCATATCAACAGAATTCCAGACTACGCTGCCACGATAACGTATGTTGAACTTGCCATAATTTGTTCGAACTTTTGGAAGGTATAGTAGCTGTTTAGCAGAAGACCTCGTATGTAATTGTGCACCTCAGTAACATTTTTAATGAAATTATCAAATATAGTTGGTAAATTGCCGGTGTGAAAATCAAACATAAAGTAAAAAACAAATTCCGAAAATACAGGACATCTTGAGAATTCAATATATATATAATTCAAAACAAGACGCAGTTTGAGACTGTAAATTTTCGACTTTATTTCAAAGTCATCTTCAGACAGAATGAAATACAATACTTTACAACACATATATATATACAACGCAGAGAGAGAGCATCTGTCATGTGGGCGGAAAGAAGGATTATCCAAGCGAAACATGATAAAGAAAATAGTAATAACTGAAAATGGAATATTTAGCTATATTTACAACAATGTTTAAATTAATATATTAAAAGGATTAAGGTAGAAAGGGAAAAACCCGACATGTAGAAGAAGATTGAGTTAAAGTGTTATGTGAACAGTTGTAGTTCTTTACTAGCTTTAAGTCCAGTGTTAAGAAAAGGTTTGTTGTGTTTGATAAGCAATGTTTCAAGAAAAGCAAGAATGTTGTAGTTGTTAGATTTTGTAATGTGAAGTATTCTGTAGCTGTTGAAAACAAGGTTTTCAATAGGAGAGGAGTTGTCAGAAGGCGAAGGAAGATCGTTGAGTAATGTGAACTGGTCTTGTAAAGTAGCTAAGAATTGAGCATGTTCACACTCAGAAAAATGTTGGCCCACTGCACTAGAAGAGAGCCTAGTTGCATGCTCTTTCAAACGTACAGAAAGGCATCTTTGTGTCATGCCAATATAGGTTTTGCCACAACCAGGGCAAGCGACCTCGTATACAAGATTACTACGAGATAAAGGAGGAAGTTTATCTTTGTTGGAAACAAAATAAGAGAGCCATTAGGATAACCATTCCAAGACATAAAAGATTTGATAGTTTCAATTTGATTGTTGAAAAGTGTTTTCGAACTGCAAATTTTAAAAGCCCGGTAGAACAGAGATTTTACCCATGCAGTTTTGCGATGAAAAGGCTCGAAACTTGAAAAATGTGAATACTGACCGGTGTGGGTGTCCTTACGATAAATGTCAGTACCATCAACCGAGACTTTTATGTCTAAAAAATGAACTACGCCATCGGGAAATGTATCAACTGTGAAATTTAAGTTCGGATCGAAACTATTGAACTTAGCTAAAACGGCGGAAATATTGGAAGGTTTTATCAAAACGAGAGTGTCATCGACGTAACGTTTGTAGAATTTTATAGTACCATCGGCAATCAACTCGGAAACTATTAATTTTTCAAATTCAGTTAAAATTATATTAGTTAAGACAGGTCCTAATGATGAACCCATAGAAACGCCGTCTTTTTGGACATAAATTTGCTCGTCAAAAGAAAAGGCAGTTTTGTTGCAACAATCCAAAATGAGTTTCTTCAAAGTGCGCTTTTCCAAAGTGGTTGCAATTAATTCGTCTTTATAAATACGGTCTAGAACAATTTTGACTGTGCGGGAAAGTGGAACGTTGGTAAAAAGGGATTCAACATCTAAAGAAACGAACTGGTAGCCTTCTTGAAACAAATGTTTGGGAATGTTGTTAATATTGGTCACCGCATCAAAAGAATCAGAAAGAGAATGATCATTTAAAGTAAGAGGATTTAGTAAAGAAGATAAAAATTTTCCAACGTTGTAGTGTGGAGTGTTAGTAGTGTCAACTATTGGTCGAAATTTAGGTAAAGTGTCAAATTTCTTGTGAGTCTTTGGCAAACCATGTGCTCTGCCAAAATGTGCTGTCATAGGTCTTAAAGCGTCAAGTTGTTCGTCAGTAATTTCATTACGTTTGTGAAGTTTAAGTAGGTAGTTCTGTAAAGAATGAAGTCTAGTTAATGTCGGGTCATTATCCAATTTCTTAAACTTAGAGGAATCAGAAAAAAGAGATTTGATAGAAATTACATAATCAGAGCGATTAATGAGCACAATGCCATTTCCTTTATCAGGCTTAAGGATGGCAAAAGTTTCTGTTAGTTTGTTTAGAATGTTTATCTTCTTGCGCCATAGCTTAAACTCCTTCAAGTCAAGATCAATATAATTATAAGTGAAGGAGCGAAGAGAGTTCTTAATCTTATCTTGTACGTATCTTCCTTCCTTGAAAATATCCAAACGTGATACCTGTCTCCAAACGTCTTCAGCCACAGCCATGATTTCTAGTTGGTTAGGTCGAGTTGCCAGGCCATATCTGAGTCCCAACTTTAAAACATCCAGTTCATCGGACGAGAGCGAGGGATTCGTCAAGTTCACAATTGTCTCGTTTGGGTTCTCAGTGATACCATCAGATGTCCGTTTCAGTGCGGTTAAGACAGAGAGCTTTTTCTGGTGTCTGCAAACAATCTTGGTTTTCTCAGAGGAGAGGAGGCGGTTGATGGAAAAGCAGATAAGTTTATATTTCATCCAGGTTGTGCGCTGAGATAATTGATGTTTAAGTTCAGTAGTTTCGGTAGTAAGCTTCTGAAGCGCGATTTTCTTGTCATGAATGGCGTCATTCAACAACAGATGCAGATAGCGTGCTTGCGCCTTCTTTCTGTTCATGCGAGTGATGTTCTTCCATCTCACAAATTTCGGATAAACTTGATTCTTCTTACAATCGAGTAAGAATTTTAAATCAAGTTGGGCTTTCTCGAAGCGTCGTAAAGATCGTTGGTAGCGTATGCAAAGCTTATGCAAATCAGAGTCGGTGCTTCGGAGATTAGTCCAAAAACCATGACCAGCCGACAATTTAAAAAAATAAAGTAAAAAACAAATTCCGAAAATACAGGATGATAATATGTTGCCTAAAATGATGATATGTTGCCTAAAATTTGGATTCGTATTCCTTATCTCGGAAACCGTGGCGATTTTCTTTTAAAATCATGTCTTAATAAAATAAAAAGATTTCTTTCTAAACCGGTTAAGTTCATCACTATTTATGACACTAAAAAGCTCTCTTATTTTGTTTCCAACAAAGATAAACTTCCTCCTTTATCTCGTAGTAATCTTGTATACGAGGTCGCTTGCCCTGGTTGTGGCAAAACCTATATTGGCATGACACAAAGATGCCTTTCTGTACGTTTGAAAGAGCATGCAACTAGGCTCTCTTCTAGTGCAGTGGGCCAACATTTTTCTGAGTGTGAACATGCTCAATTCTTAGCTACTTTACAAGACCAGTTCACATTACTCAACGATCTTCCTTCGCCTTCTGACAACTCCTCTCCTATTGAAAACCTTGTTTTCAACAGCTACAGAATACTTCACATTACAAAATCTAACAACTACAACATTCTTGCTTTTCTTGAAACATTGCTTATCAAACACAACAAACCTTTTCTTAACACTGGACTTAAAGCTAGTAAAGAACTACAACTGTTCACATAACACTTTAACTCAATCTTCTTCTACATGTCGGGTTTTTCCCTTTCTACCTTAATCCTTTTAATATATTAAACATTGTTGTAAATATAGCTAAATATTCCATTTTCAGTTATTACTATTTTCTTTATCATGTTTCGCTTCGCTTGGATAATCCTTCTTTCCGCCCACATGACAGATGCTCTCTCTCTCTGCGTTGTATATATATGTGTTGTAAAGTATTGTATTTCATTCTGTCTGAAGATGACTTTGAAATAAAGTCGAAAATTTACAGTCTCAAACTGCGTCTTGTTTTGAATTATATATTGAATTCTCAAGATGTCCTGTATTTTCGGAATTTGTTTTTTACTTTATTTTTTTAAATTGTCGGCTGGTCATGGTTTTTTTGAAAATCAAACATAAATAGAGCATCTTGATAATATATTAAGTCAGGAAACTTAAGTATGTTAAGGTGCTTAAAAAGTGGAGAGGTATGACTTTTGAAGCTAGAGAATGTTATCATTCTTACTACCTTTTTTTGTAATAAAGTTAAAACGTTTAGGTTAGATGCATATGATATGTATTACCCCATACCGTTAAAGCATATGTTAGATATGGATAAATCAATTAATGTATAGTATAATTGTTGGAGTATTTCTGTGCCAACGAAGTAGCGAATTTTTGAAATAATACCAATACAGGGTGTAATTTTTTTTTGCCAAATGTGAAATATGATATTTCCAGCTTAAGTTTGAATCGAGTAGAATTCCTAAATACTTAATATACTTTTCTTGTTTAATTCGATTATTTCTGATCAATAATGAAATATCATAGTTGGGTATCCTCTGGGTTGGATGAAAAAGCACAAAATTTGTTTTATCAATATTTAGGGATAATTTATTAGCTGCCAGCCAATCAATGACTTTTTCCAAATTTTCATTTATTATTGATTCCAGGTTAACAAGGCTTGCATTAGCATAGAAAAGGTTAGTATCATCTGCAAATATATTAAATTCAAAAGCCTTGCTACAATTATGAAAATCGTTAATATACAATAAAAAAAGCAGTGAACCAAGAACAGATCCTTGAGGAACCCCGCATGTAATTTCAGATTCATGAGATTGAATATTGCCTATTGAAACAAATTGACGTCTGTTACTTAAGTAAGAAAAACCAGTCATAGGGTATGCCTCTTATTCCATAGCGATATAATTTTTCAAGAAGGATTGCATCATTTACGGTATCAAATGCTTTAGAAAAATCAAAAAATATTCCGCAGGCATACCATCTTTTTTCGATTGCCTGTTGAATACTATCAGTTATAGAAAGAGCTAATTGTACTGTTGAACGCTTAGAACGAAACCCAAATTGCTTATTGTATAGCAATTTGTTTGAATCAATAAAACTTAACAATCTTCTATAAACTAGTTTTTCTAAAATTTTATTAAATATGGGACGATAGTTATTAAGCATAGTCTCGGGTCCTCTTTAAACTGATCAGGAACAAGACCAGTTGAGAAAGAAATATTGTATAGTATTTGAAGAGGAGTCGATAAGCTTGACCTGGCTATTCTTAGCAAATCAATTGGAATACTAAAAGGACCTGTTGCTTTAGACGACTTGAGTTTGCTAATTTCCATCTCAATTTCTTGTTTTTTGGTGGCATACATAAAAAAGCTATTTGTCACAGACTCCCCCATAGTACTGGATGGTGTTGTATTAGTGGTAGGTATAGTATCAGCTAAATTCTTACCAACATTTGAGAAATAATCATTAAAAGCCTGACATATATCTCTAGTGTTTGTTATCTCAAGATTATCTTTAATAATTTTTGTCTGTATATTGTTACCCCTGGGCTTCAAAGTAATTAGCTGTTTGATACCTTTCCAGATATTTTTAATATTCTGATTATTTTTTGCAAAATAATTTTCGTAATACGTTCTTTTGCTAATTCGTTGCAGATGATTTAATTTGTTTCGGTAATGCTTAAATTTGGACTTATAATAGTTATTTTTTGTCATTAGATATTTCTTATATAATCTGTTTTTAACCTTAATTGAATTTCTAATACCAGGAGTTATCCAAGGTTTAGACATAGTTTTAATCTCTTTTCTAGTTTTTCTAACTAAAGGTACATGTTTATCAACAATTTCCATAGTTTTAGAGTGAAAAATTTCAAAAGTATCATTAATATTGTTATTTCTTTGTAAAATACTATGCCATTCCAAACTAGACATATATGCTTGAAAGGAATCTTTATTAAATTTAGAGTAATCTCTCGTATAATATTTAAAATTACCACTAGTCAGATTGGATATCTTGTTGACAATCAAGAAGTTTGGAAGGTGGTCAGTAATATCACATAGTATATTACCACTAATAACAATATGTTCCAAGGAATTAAAGAAAATATTATCAATAAGAGTTGCTGAATGATCTGTAATTCTTGTAGATGATAAAATTTGTGGATGAAAACAATAGGATCCCAAAGTGTTAATAAAAGTATCAGTATCAGTATGTGTCTCAAAATTTAAAAGATTTATATTAAAATCACCCATTAGAATACAGTATTTATTTTCACTTTTCTTATCTGCCGTCTTGTTTTGTCTCATACAAGACCGAGGTCTGAATAATTCTTGTTATTCGAAAGCCGAATCCAATAATTGTTTTATTATACATTTAAAGACAGGAGAAACGTATAAAACGATTCATGTTCATGAGGTAGGAAAAGTACAATTTGAATATCAAACGCCTTGCACAAAGTCAAAGGTCAGCTAAATATTCTATTTCTACTTCTATTTACCCCTTTGTGGCTTTTTTCGTGCTTTCACTATCCTTATCTGCCAATAATTTGGAGAGTTCACTTTCATTCAGCGAAGCAAATCTGCTGTAGGCCATTGTTTGTTTGTTTTTTTCGCGCGCTTATAGGTTCAAGCTTTTGGCCGCGCAAGGGTTTGGGCATGAGAGAGTCCAATAATTTATTTTTTTGGATGCAAGTTCGATCCAAAAAAACAATTATTAAACGCTGATGACGTCATCGGCGGAAAATACGTAATAAAGGCCGAATACTGAAAATTAGCCGGTGCTTTCTGACCAATTAGAAACGAGAAATTAAATGTATAATAATGTTAATTAACTTGGAACAATAATGTAATTAATCGTTAGAACATGCTAATTAAACTGAGTAACATGAAGTTAAGTAACTCGGGACCACAAAGTCAATTAATTGGCACCACAAACGAGTATAAACAGTCTCAGACAGGAACTAAACGTCCGAAAATCTGGTCCTCCTAACTTGCGGGTCACGAGAATATCGGTTATCTCTTTACGCCGTTTGGCAGGGCGAATCACCAGCTGAACGGCTACCAAGGAAAACGAGGGCGCATCAGCGACGGCGTGGTCCTCCAACAGAAACGCGAAATCGATAAACTCCCCCGAAACAATCGCAGCAACTAATTACGGAGTGACGGATGGGATACCGGGCCCCACAACAACCGAGGGAAAGGCTGCAGGGAGATACGAGAAAGAACCAGGGGCCACGAAACCATGACCGGGAAATGCACCCCCGGAATAGATACCCCGTTACCGGTGACCGGGTACTGGCTAAAAAAGAAAGATGGCGTACCTGGAAAAGTTTGGTTTCCTAAACCTGCTGGAACCGTCGCCATCTGTGGGACTTGCGCTTGAGCGAATGGAGGCCACTGGGGCACACTTGGTAGGGTACAGGGCGGCGCGACACGAGGAGCGACCGATGACCCCAGAGCTTGCTGTGGAGGGAAACTTTGAGGATTAAACATCGTTGTAGACATGGACGAAGGCACAGCTGGCAACATCATCGGAAAGGCCGCCGAAGCCGCCGCAGGAACCAGCGAAGGAGCTACCATTCTCGATGGGAATATCGGTGATGACAACCATAGTTAATATAATGGGAGGGTTTGGAAGGCCGGCAAACTTCAAAGGATCACGCCCCCTTTCGTGAGCTGAACTCGATAGAGGGCATCACGTGACAGTTATAGTGCATCATGGCGTGATTTTATAATACAATTCCCTATTGACAACTTAGAAATCTATAATTTTCGCTCGTCACACGGGGTTTGGGTAAAATACGAAGTTTTATCGTAAATCTCCATCCTAAGTGGCAACTTTCGAGACGTTTTTATGTGTGATAAGCCAAACCGCTGACGCTGTGTATAGTACACGCGTAAAAATTGAGAAAATCAACAACTTGTTGCAAGTTGATATCGACAGGCGTGAACAAGGTTGTGCGGCCCACTATAAACAGTATTGTCAACATGTTGTTACAGCATTGTTCAACTGTAACAACTTGGAACAACATGGTTGACAACTTGTTCATAGTTGGCCGCACAACATTGTTCACGCCTGTCGATATCAACTTGCAACAACCTGTGCGTTTTTAGCCGTGTATCAATGGGATGCCAGTAGCTTGCGGGCTATCGTATTTCAAGTGAAGCGAAGTCACACTGCTAAAGCCGTTCGAAAAAGTCGTTGAAAACGCATGTTTTAGGTTTGGAATCATGGAAATAGATGAGGAAATTGAAATTGAGCATTTAGCAAGCTCTTGTTCACCTTTTGAGGACGATTTCGAGCAAACAATTGCGCTTCTCGAGATGGACGTGGATGAAGTTCAGATTGAAGTTCAACAAGCGCTTGAAGAGGTATGAAATATAAAGTTAAGACGATGATTTTTATGCATATATTACTGTAAACATAGATATTTACCTAATGAATATTTTCCTTTGAATACATTGTCTCTAGGTTGAAGGAAAGAAGCAGTTTCCTTGCAGAGTTTCAGTTTCTGTGAGAAAGTTTGCGCAGCAAATCCAAAGGTAGCCAGACATCAACGCAGTATAAAACATGTTGCAGAATTCGGCGAGAGATCTTCTACATCTCAAACAGTGATATCAGCAGGAAAAAGTTGCCGAATTAATACGTGATATCGGTCGACACTTGCTTGGTTGATGAAAAACTGTATAAACTGTATGCCCTACTTTAGTATTTACTCTTTTTAACATCATCTTTTTAACAAACATCTTGGATAAAGATAATATTTCGGTGCCACCAAAGGGCAGTCTCAGAGCCAAACAAGTGTAATTAAAATATTTAATCATAGATTCTTGTTTGAATTTTAGGAAGAATTGTTTTGTCACCTCAGGAGCTCCGACCATTATCATATTTGACTGGCTTTGTGACAAGATCTTTATACGAAAAACAAGAACTGTTCTAGAAGCAATTCTTCCCGGAACAAAGAAATCCAAGCCTTGATGTCATCAATGCGACGACAGGACACAGAGGCCAATGAATACATTTCATCCTTGTTGAGAGGTGGACTTTGCTCACCACACTCATGGATTGTAAGCATTGCAGAGGTGTCAGAGTTAATATTTAGAAAACACACATCAAATAAAGACAAGGTCACTCGTCTACCAGTAGACACAATTGTGAATGAAGTCCTAACTTCTTTTCTTGTGACAAACTTGTGGTGCAACATTATTCAAAACTGTGATGTAGAAACTTCAAAGGAATGTCAATCTTTATGTTAAGAGAATGGTAAGATGTTTTCCTTTGCTAAGGATATTGTAAATAAATATAAGCTAAGTCAGGGTACACAGAAAAAGAAAGCTTTATGAAAAGACTTGAAGATTGCCAGTGAAGAAAAGAAATAGTCAGGTACGTAGTACAGTAACGTTATATCAATGATATTAAATGTAATTATGATACTATATCAATGAATTACCTTCATAATTTTATGTGTAATCTTTTCATCAACATATAGTAATAACAACAATAAATAAATATATACACACTGCTTAAACTACGTTCTCTCATTTATGTCATGTTCAGCCAAATTTAGTCAGTTTAAATAAGCTAATTGGAGATATCGATAATAGCTTAGTTCATTAAAGCTAACATACCTCAATGTGCTCTTTTATTCTTTTACTCTGTCTATCGTCAGACAATTTTACACATCAAGGGCATTGCAGATTAAGCATTGCAACTTAAATTAATTAATTAATTAATTAATTAATAAGGTGGTCTTATACCTTCATTTTTGGAAAAATTCATTTTTTCAAAATAGCTAAATTTTAAATCTATGGTGTCTGCTCTACAATTGTAGCACGTTATTTTCCTTCTATGAGTTGTGGAAGGTGGTTAAATATCAAGAAAAAGGAACCCGTTCCTTTAATTGCCACTTAGCAACCGCCATAGCAACGCTTTTGTTGTCTTGAAATTCACACAAATGGTCAGTTTAAATCCACCAAATTTTTTGAACAATTTTGCTAGCACTCTCCCCCCTCAGTAGATTTGTATTTAGGAGCTTTTAACATATATTACATGAAGTATGCGCTCTAGAAATGCAAGGATAATGGCTCTTCCTTTCGGCTTCCATCTTGAATTTTGTGTGAAAGTTCTAATCAAATATAATTGTTTAAATTGCGAAAACCTCGATCTAAGGGAAAGTACATTTATTACACCGAGGGAGGGGGATAAAGATGTCTTGAAAAAAGCTCATATTTTTACAGGACCCCTGTTGAGGTTATTGGTAAATTTCGATGCCCCCCCTCCAAGTTTTTAAAATTTTCAATGCCCCCCCTCCAGAATTCGGAATCGAAGGAGTACAATCCGGAATTCTCTCTTATCATAGATACAATTTGCAGTTCCTCAAGATGTCTGATATACTCAAGCATGTGCTTCTCCTCAACAAATCTACCGATCTGCTGCTTCTTTCACCTCACTAGCGCCAGATGAAATGGCACCGTCTTTTAAAAAAAAAATTTAAATTGGCTCTAGGGGCGAAATTATCAACAAGTTGTTGTTGTCCATCATTCAGCGTAGTCGGAGTCTTGAACACGAACGTAGTGGCCAGGATTTCCTGGATCAGGGTAATGTGCTGGAACCTTACAGAATGTCGCCCCCACCCAAAAGTGCCAGTATGCTTCAATTTCTTTAATTTTCATCCCGTTTGTACTAAATATCCCATAAACATAGAACATATCATTCTTACAAATCGTATGCTTTTTTGCAGTGTTGTAACGAGTCACCTATAGGTCGAGTCACGAGTCGAGTCACTCAAGGGTCGAGTCACGAGTCGAGTCGAGTCATTTCAGTTTTTGATCGAGTCGAGTCGAGTCAGTGGCTTCACTCGAGTCGAGTCGAGTCGAGTCAGCGGCTTCACTCGAGTCAAGTCGAGTCACTGATTTAAGTCGAGTCGAGTCAATTTCTAGACTTGACTTGAGCTTGACCTAGCTTGCAGTAGGAAATTAGTAATCAAATTTGCGTTTTAAACTAATTACTTTAGTCATTTAATAACAGTATCTGGGCAGCTATAGGCTGAGCCAATATCACAGTTCTAGTCAATATTAAGTACAACCACATGAGATGTCTCATCATGCCTGCTGATCGAGTGTACGTACATACAACTAGCAAAACTTGCAACTGGAGTCAAAATTAACAAAGAATAGACTTTAATTAACAACGCTTTGTAAGTTAATTTGAAATTATATAGCCCTTTATAAATACCAAAAATGAAAATAGCCTGTCAGAATTAGTATATAAGTACAAAAAAATTTGAGACTCAATTTTAAAAACTGTGGCACTAGCGTTGTTTCTAAAAACAGAAATGTAATATACGTATGCCCGTCAGGAATATATTCTATGCAAATCCCATATATTTTCTGATAAAGTTTCGAAGTTCTCATTGTTCACAGGGCTCATTGTTCTTCCCAAGCAATACAAACACAATAATTGTGATGAATTTATTCTGTACAAGTTGTAGCTTAGTTGACTCGAGTCATTTAAGGCAAAATCAGCAAGTCGAGTCCGAGTCGAGTCATTTGGGGCTGTTGACTCGAGTCGAGTCGAGTCATTTTTCGTATTGGACTCGAGTCGAGTCGAGTCGCTGAAAATAGCGACTCGAGTTGACTCGAGTCAGAGTCAATGACTCGACTCGTTACAACACTGCTTTTTTGTTTTACAACACTGCTACTTTTTGGCGGGTAAATTACTTCACAAACCTAGCGCCAAAAAATTTAAAATAAGCTATAGGTGATTTCATGTATCCATTTAGAAGAGCAGACTAAGGATATCCTAGCACTGAAGTCGGTTTCGAATACAACCATCAGGGACGTAGCAAAGCATCTGACGTTGGGGGGGGGGGATGTCGCAGGATTATACGTGTAATAATTATAATAAAGGTTATTGTGATTGATTGGCACTCTCCTACTAAGTTTTGGGAGAAAATGGGGGTCTGGGGGTCCTCCCCCAGAAAATTTTTACATTTTTGAAGCTCAAGGACTGAATTTCTGGCGTATTCTAAAGCAAATTTCGCAAACAAATTGCATGTAAATTGACTGTATTTTACAAAAAAAATAATTACTTTATTACGCAAATTTTACCTGAAAATGTCAAAATTTTAACTTGAATTTGCTGGGGTCAAAACTTTGAAAAGTTTAGAGCCCCCCTTCAGTATATCAAGAAATTTCAGAGCCCCCCCTTTAATGCCAGAAAATATTTCGGTGCCCCCCCCCTTAACATCCC